TTTCATGAAGCCACCAAGATGTTCGAAGCCGAAGCACGGCGCAAAGGGCTTTTCTACAAAGTCATCCATGAACCGGGTATCCCGAAGGGCGTGCTCGGCGATGAGCGGCGCGTGCGCCAGGTGATCTCGAACCTCATCTCCAACGCCATTCAGCATACCTCCGAGGGAGGGATCACCGTCGAGATGTGGCGGGACACGGTCACCCCTGCGCCGGGGCGGGCTATCATCAACATCACCGTGGTCGACACCGGGTGTGGCATGTCGTCGGACAAACTCGACATGCTTTTCTGCGAGCTGGAGGAAATCTCGATGGAGCGGAAGAACGGCGGTACAACCGAAGAAAGCTCGACCGCGCTGGAGCAACCGCACAAGAAACATGTTCTGGGAATGGGACTTGCCTTGGTTTCGCGGATTGTCCGCAACTGCTATGGGCAGCTTGTGGTTCATTCCGAAGAAGGCAAGGGCAGTCGATTCGCAATATCCCTTCAGTTCGATACCGGGTAGTACATGCACCTGGATCGAACTCCAACCTCTACATTACAATCTGCCTCGAGCTGCGACGGGCTTTCTAATTTTTTCTTTGCTTTGATTTCGGCTAGCGCATATGAATTAGCCTGTGGTTTTTCTTACCCTTCTTGTCCGACGCAGAGGGCGAAACGCCCTGGAGATTATCCGATTTGGTCTTCTTCACGCCCTTGTCCTACTGCTCTGTATATACATATATATCTTCTTTTTTTTTTTGGGTCTTTCTGGGATCTCTTCATTGTATTAACACACAGTCGATAGCGTTCGAGCAGGCCATTTTGTTTTCCTTTCTGGAAGAATTTCCTTTACTTCCAGGGTTTCTTTTCTTTCTCCCGGGTTCTGGAATTCTGGGAAGAATGGATGATGACGATATTGATGACATTGGTGGTCTTTGATCAGGTCGCGGCAGAACTGCCTGCCCTATCTGGATTCTTTTCATATTGTGGGTTAAAATAGACACGAATTCCCCGAGAATATCAGGATTGTTTTCCTTTGCTACGGTCTTGCTATCGAAACTGAGACTAAACCCGATACCCTACCACCTCATAAGTCTGACGGATTCTTGCACCGGCAGTCTAGGTGGGTGATTGGTTGAGCAGCTCAAAGCGTCTACCATGGGGTTTCCTGCCAATGCTATGAGGTCCAAGGTTTAAAGCTTACCGTCAGCAAGCTTCCCTGGGATTTGACAGCTGTCTAAGTTCTTTATCCACTGGCACAGTGATCAAGGCTTGACTTTTCAGCTTACAATAGCATTGTATGTCTACGAATCGGAATCTGATGAATGAGTGAGACTTTCGATTGGGTTGTTCAGGTTTCGCAATGGAGCTGAGTAATCCCCTTACCTACAGTAGCATTGGTTGGCTAACTTCTTGATTGCCTCGATGAAATATTCTTCCATCTTCAAGTTAACATGTTTGTTCTGTACATAACGTTGGCCGCTTTTCGCTTCCGTGCAACATAGATTGCACCAGGAACCTGACTAGTTTCATGAGAACTGAACATGATACGCATTCATCACCGTCGGAAGCCCGAGTGGGGATGTGTACCACGCACATGCAGCTGTCCTACGCGGACAAAATCCCAGACAGGTCTAAGACAAGGTATGAGACATGACAGCAGATCTCTATCTCCATTGAGACAAAGTCTAAGATGTGTTTCGAAGTCAAGGTCACGCGCCAGGGCCAGTTGTATCTGCCCACCAGTTGAATCATTCGATTCATTATCATGCATGGCACGTGAGTCAAGCAATAAGCACTAAGCGCCTGCTATACATTAGTGAATTTAGCTGCGACACTAAGGAACAACAGCCGTCAGAGAACAGGGTCAGTACATAAAGGACGACCTGGTTGATTGCAATGCAGCGCAACAAATCATAAGAAATCCACCTTTGTTCGAAAACCCACGATGAGCGCCCCAACCGCCCACGCCCTCCCAACCTTCGACATCACCGCAGAAGGCCTCGCAGAAGAAGCAGCAGATCTGACCTCGTATATCGAACACTCCGCCGACAAACTAGTCGCCTCTGTCGCTCGCTCGGAACGCACCTTCGACAAGGTCATCCGGCCGCTGGCCGCGATCGACAATGAGCTCCGCGCCCGCGTGCAATACATCGCGCTCTTCCATGGCGTCTCCCCGTGCGCCGCGATCCGGCAGGCCTCGTCCGCGGCAGAGAACGAAGTGGTCCAGGCGCACTTGGCGCTGTTCCAGCGGGACGACCTCTTCGCGTTCGTCGACGCAGTCCATGCCAATCCCCAACAGCACGCGTGCGTCGACGAGGAGGATCTGAAGCTGCTAAGCCGGTTTCATCAACTGTTCATTGAGAACGGGATGAAGTTGACTGGGGCGAGTCGGGAGCGCTTTACGTGGATCACGCGGCGCTTGGTCGACCTGCGAGTCGAATTCATGCAGAACCTGGGCGCGGACCCGGGGTCTGTGTCCTTCAGCGAGGGCGAACTGGCGGGGTTGGGTGTGGAGGGATTTGAGATTGTCGAGGCAGGCAACGTTGATGCTGCTGCCCCGACAAGGTATCAGGTGCCCCTCACCAAGCCAGTCGTGACGAGAATCCTGTCTCAATGCAGCGTCCCGCAGACCCGGAAGGAAGTCTTCCTGCGCCATCAGAACCGGTACCAACCCAATGTCGAGATCTTCCGGGAGATCGTGCTTCTGCGCGACGAGGCCTCGCGGCTGCTGGGCTTCGAGTCCTTTGCGCACCGCAAACTTCAGCGGCAGCTCGTCCAATCGCCGGACCGTGTGGAGAAATGGTTGAAGGAGCTGCACACCGCGTTGGAACCCCTCGCGCAACGGGAACTGGAGCAGCTGCGAGCCGTGTCTGGAACAGACGCCATCCATCTCTGGGACCTGGACTTCTACCATAACCGCACCCTCCAGGAACAGTATCAGGTCGACCACGAGCGCGTGGCGGAATACTTCCCGGCTCGAGGCACCATCGAGCGCATGCTAGGCGTCTTCGAGGAGCTGTTCAGTGTGCAGTTCGAGAAGGTCGACGCCTCCGGCAAGCACACCTGGCATGCGGATGTGGATGCGTTCGCGGTCTGGGAGGCCGATAAGTCGGCCTTCATCGGGTATCTCTACGTGGACATCTACCCGCGGCCGGGGAAGTACAACCATGCGGCCAATTTCAACATCTATCCTGTGCGTGCGGCTTTTCCTCTCCCTCGACCGGTCAAAACCGCAGCACTATTGTGTGTGTGAACTGACGCTGCGGCAATCCAGGCTTACCTCAACAACGAGGGGAAGCGAACCCCCGTCGTGACCGCGTTAGTCTGCAATGTCTCGCGCGGCGAACCGGCCCTGCTGCGCCACCAGGAAGTCATCACCATCTTCCATGAACTCGGACATGGTATGCCCCCCGCCGGCGGCATTCTCCCCTCTCCTCTTATCGCCCCAAACCCTACCATCCCCCCCTGACACTAACTGGGATTCAAAAAGGAATGCACGACCTCCTCGGCCAGTCGAAATACGCCCTCTTCCACGGCCACCGCACCGTGGCCGACTTCGTCGAAGCCCCCAGCCAACTCCTCGAGAACTGGTGCTGGGTCCCCGACTGCCTCCGCCGCCTCAGCAGCCACTACTCTTACACCTCCACCACCTCACCCTCACCCTCACCCTCACCCTCACCCTCACCCTCACCCTCACCCTCACCATCATCACAACCATCACCAGCACCAGCAGCACCAACCCTCACCCAACCCCGTACCCCGAAACAAATCCCCACCTCCCTCCTCACCGCCCTCCTAGCCGCCAAACCCCTCAACCTTGCCCTCCTCACCCTCCGCCAGATCGCCTTCAGCACCTTCGACCTGGCCGTCCACCACCCTACTTCCCCGACTGCACTGCAATCCCTCGATATTGCGGCGACATACAACCACCTCCTCGAAGAAACGACCGGTCTGCAGGGCCCGTCACCACCCTCCCCTGACCAGAAGCCTTGGACCTGGGGCCACGGCCACGTCACCACCGCGCACTACGTCTGGAGCCAGGAGGCAAATTACTATTCGTATCTTTTGTACGTTCCCTCCCAACATTTTCCTTGTGGGATGTAGCTTTGGCCGGTTGAATGCGCAAGCTGACTCTACCGTGAAAAGTACCCGCATGCTGGCAGCCGAGATCTGGGCGTCGCATTTCCAGGCGAACCCCATGAGTCGGGAGGCGGGGCTGGCGTACCGGCGGGGGATCTTGGAGCATGGCGGGAGTCGGGAGGAGTGGGGGTTGATTACTGGGTTGTTGGGGAGGGAGCCGGGCTTGGGGGCTTATTTGAGGGAGTTGGGGGTGGAGGTTGGGGAGGATGCTCTTCAATAGTTAGTACTCCGTACTGAGTAGTAGGTTGAATTGTGGAGGGGGGGTGGGTTTGCTTGGTGGGGGGCTGATGTGAGGTATCATTATTCGGTAAGTGAGTAGGGGATTTACTCTGGGTGGCTGAATACTCATAGAAGTGACTGGTCAGTTTTTGGGTTCGCCTTTCGCTTTTACTGCCTTTTTCTTTTCTCGTGTGGGTGTGTGAGTTCAGTGGCGTTGTTTTACCCTTCTCAGCGGGGATACTTCTGCACAAGTGGATAAAGTCAACCCACTACATACATCACAAAAGTCAAAAAGGGAGTATTACACTTCTTTGGTTTTTGCTTATGTTGATAGATTACATGTCATAAAGTGCAACCGAAATAGCTCGCCGCCGTGAGGGCATCGACCAGCAAGTAGTGAAGAGAAAATGGGATGAAGACAGTAGTCCCAAAGAAAAAAAGAAAAGGATTTTCGTCGGGCAGATCTTCCAGCAAGAAGGACATACAAAGGCAGATACTTACATAGTAACTTTTCGCCCATCAATACCAGATCGCCGATCCAGTTCCAGTATTGACGATCATTCCCAGATAGAGCGAGTGGCAGACACGTCTCATTGAAGAGAATGAGCAAGTCTACTCACCAGAAACTCTGGTTCGTGAGCATAGCATACCTCACCCTCACGCCTGTGAATGCTTCCATTTCCCCAGGCTGTCCGCCAGCGCCGTCTCCGACGAGGGGCTCGGCGTGCTCGTCACCGTGACATCCGTCCGCTGCAGAACCTGAATACTGTTATGTTGGTCCTTGACCGGACTAGTCAGAGCGATCTCGCCCTCCTCGAGGCGAGAATAGGAGCTCTCGGACGTGCGCCACGCCTTCGCGACCTGCTGGCCCGCGGCCGCGGGACGGAACTGCGGGTTCTGGATCGTCGACCGGGTGCGGCTACGCCAGTAGTCGCTGATCTTGAGCTTGCGGCGGAGGCCACTGTCCATGAGCAGCTTCGAGAGGCAGGGCATACTGAAGATGAAGAACCCGCAGGCCATCTCGGCAAAGGCCCAGAAGAGCAGCGGCGCGATCATGTACATCTGGTCGGCAGTTTTGGCGAAGGAGACAGTATGGGCCAGGCGGAAGCAGGCCGCAATAGATGCGCTGGGTGCAGATGGGTTAGTACAGTATAGGGGGGGGGGGGGGGGGGGGGGGGGGGGGGGGGGGGGGGGGGGGGGGGGGGGGGGGGGGGGAGCGGAGGGGAGAGGTGGGGGGGGCGTGTGGTGGTAGGTGGGGGGGGTGGGGGGGGGGGGGGGGGGGGGGTGATTGGAATGAGAGGACAGGAATGCAAGGGGAGGTGATGGACGTGAAGAGGAAGGGAGGCGAGGGGAGACAAACAGAATACCGGCACCGAAAATCACAGAGATGCCCATCTTCTTCTGCCAGCTCATCTGCAGACCCCAGATCATTCGTTGCGGAAGCAAGAACATGGTGATGTCAGAGAAGACCTGCACAGCAGCGGAGCAAAGCATCACGTCCGGCAAGGAATAGCATTTGCTGGGGAGGTAGAACTCCCAGATCGCTCGATGCGGGCGACACTGTGCATTCAGCAAGATCACGCACAGCAAGCCCCATAGGCACTGCAGTGCGGAAACTGCCATGCATGCCCACCAGAAAGGGGTCTTGGCGCCATCGACCGGCACGAAGATCCGACACCAATCGAGGAGAATGGCAGTCTTGATCAGGGGAAGGACGGCGGAGTAGCAGCAGCCGTAGATCAAAATCAGCTAGGTCATATCAGCTGCAGTGCCAGAGACCCGGGAGCTCGGCTGCCTTACATAGAGGGGTCTGACAAGATCGCCCATGTGGAGATTCCATTGGTGGACGAAATAACCCGGTGTATGGATCATCTCGTAACCGGCATAGGCAGTACCCCAGTAGGAACCCTAGGTATGATAAGCATTGAGCGGTAGGCCGGATGAAAAGGAGACACGTACAAAGGCACCGATCATCAAAACTATTGAACCCAGTTGTCAGTTTGGAACTGCGTTAAACCGAGCAGCATGGGATGTCTAGCCAACTTACCATCCTCGAGACGAATGGAGCGATCCAGCCAGACCCGCACGTAAATGCGCAGGCACATACACAGGGTCGCAACGACGGTGCAAACCGTGATGATGCCCCAAGCCAAGCTGTTGTGGTTCGGAGGATTGTCGAAATCAGGGGTGACGCCTTCTGGAGCCGCAAGGGCCGGCTGGGCGAACAGCGTGACTAACTCGTCGGTAGACATTGCGATGGATGAGACCCTCCCTCGATCAAGGTGGGCTCCATCGAATATAAGTTGTTCGTCGAGTATGACAGGTCGAAAGGGGGTCAGTGTTGAAGTACGAGGATCGGGAACAAAACCACATGGCTACCGGGGGATCGTCTATGCCTCCCACTCCCTGGCGATTGACCTCTATCAAGTACTTGAGAAATCAGACTTTCTGACAGATTCCGTTTGCGTATCTGCATTCGCCTTGCTCCCCACTCACGGCCCGTTCGCCAGATGCTAGGAAGGCATCCGAACCAACCGCTGTCGGGCGGGTGGGGACTGGCCGTGGTGGTGAAGGACCTCCTTGCCAACGGCGTTCAATTTTGACAGCCCAATTTTTGGAGAATTGAGCCCACTGCGGTGCCACTACCACTCTGGCCATGCCGATCCCTGTCGCGGAGGCACTCAGGGTTGGCGCCCGATTTGCAAGACGGGATAACACTCCCAAGTGATGAGCACAGTAATAGCCAACAATGCGGGAAAATCGGTCGATCTGTGCGCACTGTACCCGGGGGAAGTTGGACAAAGTCCTTTGTGTTTTTTATCTATCCATTGTTGATCTGGGGACCAGCCGTTCATCAAGTTAAATTGAGTGGACAGGCTGACAGCAGCAATGCAAGGGTGACAGCTGATCACAGATCCTTATTCCTTTCCCCACTTTAGTGCCAAGTGATTAGCAGCTGACGGACTATCTTGACAATTCCTTCGAAACGGCTGGGCCTCAAAGAACCACCTTTGGGACTCCAATCAGAGACAACGGTACCTCCTCCAAGGACTAGTCGAGATATCGTAAGCCGAACGGCTTGTGAGGAGAAGGAGGAACCATCCCCCTCATGGCGGTTCGTCGCGGCGATCTTGGGGCTAGCCTACTTATAGGCGTTGCAGTACCCCTCCTCTGCATCTCAATCGCACAGCCCCTGATTTCTCAAGCATTATGGCGACCGGTAAGTATCCTTTTGTAGTCGATTCAGTTGTTCTTGCGACGCAGCGACTGAAACCAGAAAATGGGAACTCCTAGTCTCTCACAGCTCTCATGCGCCCGCAAGGGCCGGCGAGTATCCTGGTCAGGCTGACCTGCGCAAAATGATGGCTCAGCAACCTTTGCCTGCTCTAGAACCCAAACTCATCGACCCCGAGACAATGACTGGCGATGCACCGACCGTTCAGGCGCATGCCCTGCTAAATCGGCTCAACACGGCCCTGTCCAGCAAGAACGTGGAGGCGCTGCAGAGCTGTTTCTATGCCAGCCAGGCCTATTGGAAAGACCAACTGGCACTCACATACCACCTCCGCACATTCAATACACCGGGTGTGATTGCTGCTGCGATGCTGGAAACAGCTCCCTTGCGCGGGCTAGGAGATGTGTCTGTAGACGGAGGCGCGGTCTTTATTCCTGCGACACCCACCTTGGTTAGTTTCTGCACACAATGTATGGCGTGACAAATGCTGACCGAGGATAACCATATCTTAGCAATTCATCGACTGTGGAATTCGGTTCCGAACGAGCTCCCCGGCAGCGACAGGCAAGGGCAAGGTAGTACTCTTGCCGGTACAGACTGCAGAGAAGACGATCGAGTGGAAGATTTGGGTTCTGAGCACCATGCTGGAGAGCTTGGATCTTCATCCGGAGGACCAGGGACTGTTGCAGGGATCGAGCAAAGAGTATGGCGATGCGGAGAGATTCGAAACGGATGTGTTTATCATCGGAGGCGGAAATGCGTAAGTGAAAGAAAGATGGCAAGAATGGGAGAAGCGAGGCTAATGGAAGGTGGTGGTGGTTCCCAGAGCTGCCGCGTTGGCCGCGCGCCTGAAGACGCTGGGAGTGGAAAGTGTCATGGCCGAACGCAACTCCCAGGTTGGCGACAATTGGGCTCGTCGCTACGACTGCATGCGCTTTCACATCCCCACTTCCTTCTGCGATTTCCCGTTCATGCGTAAGTCATTTCTTTTCCCAAGCAGGTACAAGCCATGTCTGTCTGACAAGGTGACTTGGCATCATGGCGTTATAACTACTATATAGCTTACGGCCCCGAACTCCAATCTCCCCATCTACTCTCGCGCGACGACCTGGCAGAGCAAGTTCGAGGATACGTTGCGACCTTTCAACTGAACGTCATCACGTCGGCTCAGATCCAGTCAACCCAGTACAACCAGGCGACACAGCATTGGCAGATCAAAATCCAAACCCCGACTGCCCAACGCACGGCCATTGCGAAGCACCTCGTCCTCGCTACTGGCGTTGCATCCCAGCAACCCTTCGTGCCTTCCATTCCCAACAAAGACGCCTACCAGGGCATCAACATCCACTCAACTCAATACCAGAATGCCAGGAAGCTGGTGGATCAAGGCGTTAAGGTAGGCACCGGCTTAGTACCTCCTCCTTCTTCAGCCAAGCTAACTCCACCACCCCAGTCCGTTCTCGTCATCGGCTCCGCCAACACAGCCTTCGATATCCTCGAGGACTGCCATGCCGCCGGACTACAAGCCACGATGAACGTGCGCTCCCCAACCTACATCGTCCCGATCGAGTACCTTCTCGACAAGCGCAGTCTCGGCGCCTACGACCTCGGCGTCGAAGCCGCCGACCGACTTTTCCTTTCCCTGCCCGCCGTGATCGACAGCCAACTGGGCGATGGCCTGATGAAGCTCTTTTCATCCCAGGAACCCAACCGTTACGACGCGCTCGCCGCGACCGGCTTCCCCGTGCGCGACAGTTCCCACTTCGAGTCCGTCCTCATGCACAACCTGCTCGAGCGCGCCGGCGGCCACTACGTCGACGTCGGCGGCACCAAACTGCTAGCCGAGGGCAAAGCCGGCGTCAAAGCCAACGTAGAACCAACTGCATACACGGCCACGGGACTGACCTTTTCGGACGGATCTTCGCTGGACGCTGACGCGGTGGTCTGGTGTACCGGGTTCGCCGATCGGGATGTCCGCGACACCACGGCGACGCTGCTCGGTGGGGAGGCCGCTCGTGCTGCGTCGGGGACAGGCGGCGACGACGACCTCACAAAGGCGGTCGGTGAATCTATCCTAGGTCCCGAGGAGATCGCCGCCCGTGTCGAAGCAACCTGGGGCGTGGACGCAGAGGGAGAGATCCGCGGCATGTGGAAGCGGCATCGCCAGTTGGACAACTTTTGGATAATGGGCGGGTTCACGCAGCAGCATCGCTGGCATTCGCGGACGCTGGCGCTGCAGATCAAGGCCGCTCTGGAAAGGGTCTTGCCGCCGGCTTATCGGGATACTCCGCGTGTCTGAAGGATCGAATCTGGGGGATTATCGTCCTGGTGGTGGGGGTTTCATGCATATAGTATTATCTCTTGGGTGGTTGTCTGATTTAGTTCCTGATGTAGATTCTCGGATCGGTACAGTGGGTGCAGGGCCGTGGAAGAATCCTGGCGGGGCTGTTAATCCTTCTTAATGGTAATTCAGATCTAAGCAGACAAGCATACTCATGTCTGCACTGTTGATATACTCTGAAATTTTCCTAATGCTATGCGATGGAAGTTTGCCTGGAGAAGTTCGAGTCCATTCGTACTTGTTCCCAGAAGCTAGTACAGCACTGGGATATGGTTTTATAAATGTCTTTGAGAGGGAGTAAAATGCGCTTATCTCACGAATAATCTCACACAGAGCCAAGAAATGCGACCGATATCTGTCGCAGCATCACTTAGTAGTTCGCTGTATATTTGAAAGGGTATCCAATGGGGACGAATCGTACCTGATTGCATTCCATGAAGCCCTCTATCCCCATATATAGTTCTGTCTCTTTGAAAATTAGTAGCACGATGTCAACGAGATACCTGAGTAGAAATAATTTATGGGTGGTCTGGACCTTGTGTGGTGCCATCGACGGATTGATCTATATATCCCTCACGCGGGAAGCTCTTGCACGGCACCGGCACAAGAATGCATAGCCAGATCATGTGCAAACGAAAAGGGGATTAGGAAAAAATGAAATGCAAGTTTAGATAGAGAAGAATACGAGTATACACTGTAAGCCCAGGTGCGCTATTCTTTATGTTGGGCCGAAATAGAGTTTGGAAATGAGGTTCAATTGAGGACGAACTGCTCGCGTGCTCTTTTCTCCCCGGCCTGGTACAATTACCTCTCTCAGCAAAATGAGTCAAGATTTGCTAGAAATCCAACACTTATCAACCTGACTACTTCTAAATTCGAATTGACCTATAAAGTCTTCATCTGTATTGGAATTTAGCTGCCAAGGCCGTTGTCCCTATGCCGGCTTCAATTACCAAGAGAATTTTGTGGCATGGGCTGCCCGGGAAGGCATGCACGATTCACACTGTTTCTATTCAGACGCAGCTATTCTATCGCATTCATTCTATAGCCCCGCTTGGCGCAGTGACTACGAGATCCAAGATGGTATACCCGCTAGATTGCATCCAACGTCCGGAAGAAATTCGAAACTGCAGCCAAAAATTGTCATGAAGATTGTTGTGTCGATCACCAGGATCCGCCAGACGTCGTCTAGTCAAAGTACTTCTTCATAAGGTTATGAGCTAATTCCACACCAGCACTATCTCACGTCAGTATTAGGTTATCAAGGAGAAAGAACATAGGGCTCACAAAGTCGCTGCGTTGGCTGGGACAGCACGGGCCAGAGCAGGACCAAATCCGGGGAAGAACGCCCTGAACCCGCCGTTGGCATAGACAGCGCGAATGGTTCCGCCGATGGTAGGCCGACCGGGGGCACTCTGCAGGCGAGACTTGACGGTATCGACGGGGAAGACCGGAATCCACATGGCGATTCCAGCAGCTCCACCTGCGGCCAGCACAGCGGTCATCGACAACTCGCCCGTGACGCGTCCCTGCTCGTCCTTGGGCGTCAACGTCCGCTTGATGTACTCGTACGCGGCGAAGTATGCCGCGGAACCGGGTCCGTCACGAGCCAGCGTCATCGCGCTACCACGGAACACACTGCGAATGCCTCCCTCTTTGTACAGTTGGCGCACCACGTCCAAGCCGCCCGAGTACTTGGGCTTCTGACCAGGCGGAGGCGGGTTTTGACCCTGGATCTGTAGTAGCACCTTAACGCGCTCGAAGGGAGCCGTGATAAGAGTCATGGGAATCGCCGAGAAGAAGCCCGCCGCAGAGATCTGGCCGATGGTGTATTGGGGGGTGTTGTGCTTCACCTCTACCGTGGACAACTTGCCGACAAGCGTTTTTCCGACGTCGTAACCCTGCGATGGTCAGTTGAGAAATGCCAAGTGCTTTACAAGCGATAGACCGTACCCAAAAGCTAACAGCAACTGATTCAAAAGTGCATCGTTAGCCAAAGACTTGACAGGGGAAATTCGCGCACTTACACATAGGCGTCACTCCCACCAGGGGAGCTGAAACACCCGCGTACAATCCCTGCGGCAAGTTAGCGTGACTGCACAAGACCGTAGGCAACATCCCGACTTACACGCGCAAGACCTTCGCGTGCGACCGTCTTCTTGACCACATCTATAGCACCAGCGTAGACGCCCCGTTCTGCCGTCTGCAACCGCACCTTGACCAAATCGAAAGGATGTCCGACGACGACGGCGCACACACCACCCACACCGCCCGCTACGAGGGAGCGGATCTGTGCGATTGTTTGGTTGACAGGCTTGGTCTCTGTGACGGGAACACTCTCTGGGATCGGAGGCGAGGCCGATGTGGATGTGGATGTGGTCGACATGGTAGAAAGGCAGACAGACGCTCGAGTGAAAGGCTGAGGCTAAGGAAGAGAGAGAGAGAGAGGGTGGTAAGGGGAGGAAAGAAGAGAGAGGAGGATCGTCTGGACAGCGAAAAAAGCAGAAGGATGGGTCTTGAGAAAGAATAAGAGGAAAAGAACTAGAAAGAAAAGACAGCCAGCAGAGCTAAGTACAGTAGACCACAAGTACAAGCGATCGGTCAGTCGGTCGGTATTCCGGAGTAAGCTAATCTGGGGATTGTGACGAGGCCGCGGGGAGGAGGAGGGAACCTCGGCTCGGCATGCGGATCAAATATGGCTCCGAGAACAGGGGTCAGTCGCGGCCTATCCTTCCGAGGTCATTACCGTCTTCTGCCTAGCGACGGTGGGTGGCACCTCATCGTGAGTGATAACTAAGTAACGTTAAGTTAACTAACTTAGTGACGGATTAACTGGCACTTCCCAATCTCATCGTCATAGCTGCCCGATGAAGTCAGAATTCTGACAGAACACTATAGACAATGTCCAAGCATGTTACTCCTCGTGGTCAATGGCACCGGGTGAGCGGAAGTCAATCGTGACCGTGTTGATGATCATCTGTCCAAGGATCCAGCAACGGACGACAGGAAGATTGCTTATCGAAGGGACTCGGGAGGGGGATGGTGGGCACATGACTGGTCATGACTGGTGACTATGCCAAGCCTTCACATGCCGGTTTCGGTCAATGCAGAAATGTGGCTAGTGTGCCAACTATGGCTGACAGCTGTGGCTGGTATCCCCAGTCATAGTCTCTGTACTATGAACATATCAAGTACAGATCATGCTGTGGCTGGGTGGACTTGGTTGTTCGTCTTGACCAATGGTGATCTAAATTCTCTAAGCTTGGTACACGCACACTGACCGGCGTTTCATCACTGCCCAACTGTGAGCATGCCCCTTTCCCCTTTCCAACCTAGACTGCAATCTGACCCTCTCACTGCAGGGGTTCGTCAACTCACTGGTTCGGAGCCCCAATCTTGTCTCCTTGGCCGCGGAGAAGAATTCCTCAGAGATCTGGTATAATAGAGATCCATTATGCGTCTTCCGCAAACAGTCAAGGTAGCCAGAGTTCAGGGGAGACGACTTTGCGGCAGATCGACCCTGCAGATCTATGACAGGTTCGTCGTGTCCGCAGTCTGCCGTTCCAGACTCGCGGCTCGGCAGCATACAGATCGCACGAACCGGTTCAAACTCTTGGTTTTATCTGCACCATTGCATCATTGATCCTAAATTGGTCCGATCGCGTGGTTGACAACTTGACAGCTGAAGGCCATCGATCGATCACTCGCTCTTCTGTGATGCCTCTGGGTTCTGTCGATTATGCGATACATCCAGTGTTGGTTGCCTTCTGCTGCCTCGATCGATCGGATCTCATATATCAAAATGCAACCGAGGGCAGGATTTATAAAGCAGAGAAAAGATTCCTTTCACGAGCCATATAGACACCCAAACTTTTGTGCGACGCCGTGATGGACCAATACACCAGTTTTATGGATACTGAGTCGCTGCGCTCCGAGCCGTCGACCGTCGCGCTCGACAACTACCCAGCCTCACCGTGAGCCATACCTGCTCTCCGAAGGGATTCCACTCTTGCTTACTGGTGTGCAGACCTCCAGAGGCACTCATCGCTGGCTTTCCTCATCCCCCTAGCCGGGCGCGCAAGGATGAGGAGCATCCCAATCTAACACCCAAGCCATCCCTCAAAACTCTCCGTCGCAACTATATGATCCACGAGCTGCCTCTTCTCCACGAGCCCAATCCTTACTACAACAATGACAGTGACCAGCAGCAGTTCCATCCGCTTCAAGAACCAGGCCTCTCGTATGATTTGATTGCTCCAGCCGCATCTGACGACGCTGCTCCCCTCCACAGCCTCGAGCGTCTCGCCGACCTCATGTTCTCTTCCGAACACATGCTCTCTATTCTCAATAATCCACGCTATCTTGCGCGATTTCGCGAATTTCTGCTCGAAGAGCGTCCGCGCTCTCTCGCCCTCCTGACATACTACCTCACAGCCCGCAAGGCTCTCCTGGCTATTGACTATGCCAACGCGCTCGTTCGGTCCGTCATCGACGCACCCCCAGTCACTATCGCGACGCCCGACCCAATCGTGGGTCAAATCTCCCACCCGGTGCTGTATCAGCGCGTCACAGAGGCTCTGCAGGCCCTCACAGCGGAGGAGCTTCCCGCTTTCATCACCGCCCGCTGTATCAGCTTGACGAGTAGAGTGGTCGAGGAGCGCGTACGCGGGACTCTCCCGCCCAAATTCCAGGGTGCGTCCGATGCGCTGGCGGAGGTGTTCTGCTTGACCGATCCGTCACGACGGGACAATCCTATCATTTTCGCCTCAGAGGGTATGCTCTCTCTTGGACTGACCGGCTACTGGTTCAAATTTCGATCCTGCTATTGACAACCGTTTATAGAATTCCATCGCACGACTCAATACGGCATGGACTATGTGCTCGGTCGCAATTGCCGGTTTTTGCAGGGGCCGAAAACCAACCCTAACAGCGTGAGACGCATTCGCGAGGGCATCGAGAATGGAAGGCATCATTCCGAGCTGTTCCTGAATTAGTGAGTCGCTTACGACCCGGACCGCCAGAGCATCAGGATTTTGCACGGGAGGAGAGATTAACTAATGCGCGAAAACAGCCGCCGCGATGGCTCTCCGTTCATGAATCTACTACAGTGCGCCCCGCTGTGCGATAGCCGTGGCACGGTGCGGTACTTCATCGGCGCCCAAATCGATGTCTCCGGGCTGGCCATGGACGGTGCACAGATGGAATCCCTGCGCGCTCTGCAGGCAAAGCAACGGCGAGCCGAGGCCAAGGCGGCGGAGGATGCGCGGGACGAGGACTCCATGGAGATCATCCAGCCAGAGGAAGGGATAGAAGAGGAAGGCGGGGTGCAGGTCCGTTTCGACGACAATGATAATGCCACAAAAACCTTCACATACCCTCCTACTCAGCCACCACTCAACCACGAACCGTCCCAGGCAGTGATGCAAAATGACCAGCACCCACATCACCGGGTCGGAGAGAGTCTGGGCTCACTAGGATCAGTGTACAGCCAGCGGTACGACGGCGAAGATGACGAGGACGACGACACCGACCGTCCCAAGGACGAATTCCGGCAGCTGACCGAGCTGTTCAGCCCGCGGGAGTTGACCGTCACGCACGAGGTCGGCGGGACGCTCTTCCACCCCAGCGCGGTGTCCAGTACGGCCGGGATGCTGGATCGGGGCAGCTGGCAGGCGATGAGTCGGACGTGGTCGATGGTCGAGGATGAGGCCATCCGGGAGCGAGAGGTGAAGGAGTCCATGTGGAGAGGCTCATTGACCGGGGTGTATGAAAATGTAGGCCTCCCTCTTTTTTCCTTCCTCTTTCCCGTCTTCGCTTGTTCCTATCTGCGTTTCTGGCAAGCGATTTGCGACTGACACTAGAACCAGTACCTCCTGGTACGACCGTACCCCTCGCTGCGGATTCTCTTCACCTCCCCCGCGCTCCAAATCCCCGGCATGTTGCAGTCCTCCTTCCTGTCGCGGATCGGGAGTACCTCGACCGTGCGTGAGGAGTTGCTGGAAGCCCTGAAAGGTGGGCGGAGCGTCACCGCACGTATCAAGTGGGTGACGAGGTACAACACCCAAGGACGCGATCGATGGGTCCATTGCACGCCATTGCTAGCGAGCAACGGGGAGGTGGGGGTATGGATGGTGGTAGTTGTGGACGACGATTGAGCGGGGTTATTTTCTTTGGACTTTTCAAGAATAAAGGGGGCGGGGCCCGGGGGCGGTGTTCGGTGTACAATAATTCGTTATTCGTGGGGAATCATCTAGACTAATACATCCATCTGTCTATAATATATATAACACCATGCTTGCATCAACATCATCATGCTCAGCTTCGTCGAGAAAGCAAGCCCTCCGCTTCCTCGCCATCCCGATCGGCCAGACTTTCGGCAACCGCGAGCCCCTCGGCGCGGCCCCGTTCCGCGTTGATGATCCAGATCAGCGGGATCGGGAGCAGGATGAGCACCGCGACGAAGAAGAACCCGCTCCGCACCTGGCCCGTCTTGTCGATCATCATGCCCACGATGGCCGGGCCGATGAACGAGCTGCCTTTGTCCGTGGCGGCGTACAGGGCGTAGAAGGCTGCTTCGCTGCCGGGCGGAATCAGCAGCCCGAAGAAAGAGCGGCAGTACGAGGCCAATCCGCCTCCTACCACGCCGTGCACGACAGCCAGTGGATAGATCTCCCAGGGCTGCTGCAGGCCGATGACGCCCCAGCGCTGGACAAAGGGCAAGTAGGCCAGCAGTCCGTACAAGGGGATCAGCTCGAACAGCGCAAGACACAGCATGATGGTCTGATGCGACTGCAGACCCAGCCGGCGCGACACGATCGGCCACAGGAATGCGCCCGCCATGCCGGAGACCGTGGCGGTGATCGACAGGAGCGCGATCATGGTGGTGCTCAGGTGCAGCTCGGTGCGCGCGAACAGGATCGCGGTGCTGGACACCGTCGCCAGCGCATCCGAGAGCAGGAACCAGGCCACGAGGAACAGACGCATCTCGCGCAGGCCCACCGCCACCCGCGCGGTTTTCCACAGCGATTTCCAGGCGAATCCCACGAGGCTTAGCCAGAGCCGCCATCTAGCGCGGGGTGGGCCGCCGTTGTGTGTTGCGCCGCCGGCCTCCTCTAGCGGCGGGCCGGGGCGGGTGCGCAACCACCGCCGGCTGACCAGTGTGAACGCGCACCACCAGAGACCCACTAGCAGCAGCACGCAGCGCAGCGGCAGCGTGCCGGACGATTTACCAATCGAGGTCTTCGAGAGAGTCAAGAGGAGCCCGATGCTGAGGATTTGAACGAGCACTGCGGCGCAATAACCAAGCCCCACTCCTTTGGACGATATGCGCGTCGACAGCTGTAATTCGGGAGACACGGCCTTCGTTGTAGAGGACTGACCGGATTCGCCCTGATCATGACCATGCGACCGGGCGGAATGCGTGCGAAAGTTATCGTCATCCTCCTCTCCATCAGGGTGTAGCTGGTGAAGCTCTTCCGGTGTCTCTTTGATTGGTGAAGCGATAGACGGGTCGTTTGCGACGAGGACGGGCAGAAACGAGTTGAGCACGACGAACGAGGACCCCAGACATACAACGCCTACCACGACCAGGAGCGCACCAAGAATATAGACGGACGGGGAAATGAACATGAACAGCATGCTCGTTACAGATCCCACGAAGCCGAAGGTCATGAGGAGGGTTTTGCGGTTACTCTCTGCAGATGTGGAGCATCATGGTCAGTGCTGATGTATGGAGCAAGGCACCGAGAGAGAGAGAATCGGGTGGTTATACCGTAATCTGCCAGCGCGCTGAACGATATCAGAGTCAATGCTTGCACAAGCACCGCCAGGGAGAAGGTGTACATGGCGAAGCTGGCGGTGGTGATCTCCAACCCCATTAAATGGACGACGCATTGTTCATTGGAGTCGCCCGACGGCGCGTTCGGCCCAACGCATGGCTGATGGCTGGATTGGAGTAATCCTCGCTCGCGAGCCAGTTGCTCGAGGGTCAGCGGAAGGAATGATCCTGGGACTAGTAAGTTTGTGCTGATATTGAGGTGTACAGGGAGGTGTACAGGGAGAAGGGAAGCAGAAACGTACCGACACCGCAGACAGCGAAGACCTCGGCAGCGATGCCGTAAGCATACCAGCCCCAGATTTCCTGCCGGCTGGTCGGGGTGGTATCCTCACCGGCGTAGCGCGGCGGACGTGAGGAAAATTCCCCATCGGAGAGGGGATCAGGGCCTGGAACTGAAGCCATTGAGACGTTCCTGGGAAGATGGAAGACTGACAAACTGGAACTCCAGCTGTACCTGGTGAGAATGTCCGGCACTTCCGGAAAAGACGGTATGGAGATGAGTCAGCAAGATGTAACTAAGGTGCATAACTACGTCACTCGACCCCGCCCCGCTTATCTGCACTTGCCTAATTGAGACGAGGTTCCTGATGTCGGCATCAAGATCGTGACTACAATTCTGCCTCCCAGTTGCTTCTTTTTGTCCTCCATTCTTCTACTCTGTCTCAAAGGCCCGATGAAGAGCAATATGATCGACCACTGACTAACTTATAGGGCCAAAGCATTCCCAGCCGTCATCAGCGTGTGAAACAATCTGCTCAATACGACACACTCTCCTGCTTCTCTTTAGATTCAGATGTCACAGAACATATGCCAGAATAACAGAGACTGTCTTCGCTCGACGAACTTAAGAAGCTCTGCACGCCTTCGCAGTTTGGACTTGCTGGAAAATGCTCCATGACGCTTGGAATGCTGCTCAATGTGCCTTCCTTGCTGTGATTGACACTCTACACATGCGAAGTATGTAACGTCTGCTAACACATGACTATCATAAGATGAGCTCGAAGATGTGAAATGCAAATGGTTACAGACCTTCAATTTTGTGACAACTAATCACGCCTTGTGAGGCGGCTCCTGAGCAGAAAAACAACCATGAAACCCAGCGGCTGACCGCAGCATCGGAAACAGGGCGGATGATCTCGGAGCTCTAATCGAGGTCCGCGCATACCCATACTTCTTCTTTGCCACTCGGTGTCACGCTTATGCCGTAGCTTTGAGTCGTTCACAGGATGGCTCGGGGCGCCGGTGGCGGGTGAAATGATCTTCGTTGTGTAAGACAGGCTCCGACGGAGGCCACCGCGGGGGAACATGGTAGGGAACGCCCTGTGAGTGAGTGGCTCCGACGGGGCTCTAACTCTGGGGACTGGGAGACTTGGGGCTGATGATACCATTTAGGTATGTAGCACGATTTTAGCACTCGATTGAGCGGGTTTGTCGACTGGCGCTGAACATGACGATCACAGGCGGATAGGGCTCGGTAGTTCCGCCCTTCGGGTCCGAGCATCTCTGTTCCTCGGCATTGAGAGAGCTTCAACCGCGATCTGCTTCGAGAAAATGTCAACAAGTTCATTAGACGACATTCCAGTGACACTTCCCGGTCTACCGACCTGGTCTTACGACATTCGGAAGCGTACTGCACGATTCGCCAGCCTAGAACTCTATTGTTATAGGAGACGCGATGATAAGCTGACCGGTCAATGCTCCCGACTAAGCCGTGAAACATGGCTATGTAACCTACAACATCATGGTTACCTCAGGTGCTCTGCCTCGGTCTAAACGCTCTTGGACCTGGACAGTAGTATCGAGGTGGTAGAGGCGGATGTACCATACTGCTATTTCCCCCTATCTTTGGCACTAGGGCCCTTGTTCATCTTTGCATTTTTCCTTACCAGTATATTACCTACGTCGATTGGAACTGAACTGCAGTCTTTTGCATTGTCCTCAACCTGTGGGTTGTAGTATTTACAATGAATCAAGACAAGTCGTCGCAAGTCACCACTGGTCCACTTCCCAAGAGTGTAAAGGTGCGAACGACCTGCAATGCTTGCCAGCAGGCGAAGATTCGATGCAGCCATGAGAAACCCTCATGTTTACGATGCCAAAAGCACAACTACAGCTGTATCTACAGCATTTCTCGACGATTAGGGAGACCGGCCAAGAAAAAAGATACTGCAACGAATGGAAACCATTTCAACATGCCAAAGCATGCCCGAGGTCCTTTGGACAAGAGATTCCGTGGGTACCCCAGAAAGAAGAGGATTATAGAGGAGCCGGTGCACGAAGTCAGGGCGAATCTATCAAGCTACCAGTGTGTCAATGAGAGAGCGATGCTTGACAACAATGCAAGCGAAAGCCTCGAAAACCTTGGTGTGGATGATGCAAGTCTACACCAAGACTGCTTCATGGATCCTAATCGTATGACTCCCTGTGGTACCTATTATTTACTCACACAATATCACCTGCTTACAAGATCCGAAAGTTTCCGACGGCAACGACCTATCTTCAGATAATTGGTTGCAGGAGTTCATGTCGAATCCTGTCGCGGATTTAGTGCAGGAGCGCGAACTGCTAGACTCCCTCGGCCTGAGCAACAACAAGACCGAGAGCGTCAACAACACGAGTCCCTCTCATTCAAGCCACTTTACAAGCCCATCAAGAAGTTTCCTTACGACGGACTCTCAAGACCAAGCCCCAGAGTGCTACTATCTGGCTCCGAGCAACTTCCCTAGCCATAGCCAGTCCCCTGCGGATGACGCCCACGGACCTGCAGACAGCCGGACCTCTGACCTTGAAGCTTTGAAGAAAGACTCTCTCGCCTGGCTACAGCCGGCTACCTCGTCTATCGATAGTATTCCACCAACGGTAACAAGAGCGATGTCAGCGACGGAGCCTTCCGGCAGTTTCATCCCAACGAGAGCTCCGAAGCTTAACAACGCCTATAGCTATGTGCCAGAACACTTCAAGACAAACCCCACCATGCCTAGTCTCCAATATCAGTGCCAATGCCACGAACCGACGATACGCGAGTTGATTCAGGTCAACAACTTTGCATCGCGTGCGGGACCTGCAGCTACGATTGACTCCATCTTGAATTGTCAACGCGTGCTGCAGCAACTTTCGCACACCATCCTTCAATGCAACCTATGCTCCCGTACCTGGATCAATCTATTGATGATGGTTGTGGTCAGCATTGACAGCCTAGTGACCGCTCTAGAGGCCATTATATCCCTGGACAGCGGACTTGCAGAAAGGCTGTTCGCGGAGAACCCTGAGCCACTCCCTACAAGTAACAGGCCCGATAACATTCCCAGCGCGAACTTTAGACGATGCCGGGCAAGCAGCCTCTATCTGAAGACACAGGTGGATGCCTGTCCGTTAGTGGTAGGAGGATTCTGTGTTCCATTTGAGGACAAATTTCTTTTCATAGCCCAGGTGCTGTACCTCCGGTTATCAGAGTTGCAGATGACCGTGCGTCGCATCCGTCTATGTACGCAAGAGGTTTTGGCAGTTCCTGCTGCCCGGGGCAGGCTGGGAATGATAATGGAGACCGATCAGCGGCTGGAGCTGATTATGATGAAGACTAAATTGCTAGCACAGTCATGATTTATACTCGCTTATCTCAATCGTACATCACTTTCGGCTCAGAGAAATTCCTCCGCTTCCATTGGTTCTCTCCCAAAACATCACAGTCCATATAAGGTAATGTACCAGACTATACCTGTGTTAAGTGCCTTATCTGGGCAGTCGCATATGCTACGTACTAGACCCAAAAAAGTAGGAGCATCAGGGTTGCTGCCTGCGCGCTGGGGCATGGCCGAGAATCAGCTGTGTGACGAGTGCGCGGATCTCATAGCATGCTACGTCGCACAGTGAACTGGCTTGCGCAGGGAACAGACCAACAGAGCCTTTCCACCGGAAGTGATATAAGGTGAGGCTATTCTAGTACCTTCCCGGCACGACGGCGTGATTGGGCTGCAATGTAGAGTCGCCGCAAGGCATGTGAATTCAGGCGCAAGGGCAAAGCAGTCTTACTCAGGAGCCCAGGCCTGCGGCGACTGCGTGCGCGAATCGTGATCCTATTCGGCTCGAAGCTCCTACCAACAGCAAAGATGCAGTCTCCATCTTGTCTTTCTCGATACAACGATGACCCTGTGTTCGGAGCAAACTGGACCACCCGGCTGTTAGAACGCTCTATTCGCTCTCTGAGCTCCGCCACGCAGTCATGGACAGCAGCAGCAGCAACTGCTCCTGCTCGATCCGTCTCCTGCAGATCATGACCGAGTGCCGGAACCTGCAACCGGTCGTGGAGCTCGCCACCATCCTTGACCTGGTCCACCGGGTCGTCACCCACGGGAAAGCGATGGTCAAGTGCAAGGGCTGCCGCAGTAGCCCGCACTCGTCCTTTGCGATGCTGCCCGCGCTGGCCGAGCAGTGTCTGACCCTCCTCAAGGCCGGCAGTCTGGCCTACAGCATCACGAGTACCAGCGGCAGCACGCTCCTCGACCCCACGGTGCTGGCGTTCGAGCAGCCGCTGTCGCAGTACATCTGTCTGCGCAGCCCGTCGCAGCTGGGCCGCATGAAGCTCGATGAGAAGGAAGCCACACTCTTGGTCCGGACGCTGATCGGCCGCAACGCCAAGCAGTTCCTGGGTCTGCTGGAGAGTCTGCAGAAGCTGCTCCAGTCCCTGGGGAAGGACACTGAGCCGGCCTTGCCGCCAATGGGTCATGCCGTGCTGCACCCCTGCGAGTCGGTGGTCGAAACCACGCTTCGCCGCTTTGTGGTCTTCCTAGAACAGATCAAGTTCGAGGTAGGTCGGTCCCTCGCGGTCGGATTGGCAAGATAGCTAATCAACCGCTCACAGTGAGCTTGATCTAGATTATGTTTTTTTTTTCTCCGCAAGGGTGGTTGGGAGATTAATCAATTGAAGAGATAGAGAGCGGGAAGATAGAGTACATTTTGTCTTGTAAGGGAAAGTTGGTGCGTTGATCACTCATTGTATGTTCAGTGATGTGGATCTTTCTGATCTGGTCTCTCACTTTCTGTCTGGTGATGGTGATAGCGATGGTGATTTGATAGCCTCAGTCAGAAGAATTATTCAATGCCTAAGGTGTGCGCAGAATGGTCCCTGTTTGCAATGTTTACACCTCTGTTCCGTGCCTGCCGATCCCCTCAAATTAGGCGGTGTGCATTGTGTTTGTGAGCCCCCAAGCATTAATCGCACATGTCTCGATCCTGTACTCCGTAGATTGCGTGTACTTGTTACCTAGATAAGTATGTACTGTATCTAGGCAAGATTTCTATGTAGCCTCATGTCATTATTCACTTTCTCAATGCACTGCAAGAGGTTCAATGGCAGACGGCATGATGGCTCTTTCACCGAAATGATGCCAAGGGAAGAATCGGGGGCAGTCAGGAAATAATGTGGGCTCCAGCTCAACGTTTGCCACGGCTTCGAGCGACTTCTGCTAGACTAGCTCCGTGCTCCGAGAATTGCTCAAGGGGGTCTCGCGGGCTCCTCACCATGCTGCAGGTACAGTCACGGTACAATTGCTGCTGGCGATGCCATCTTTGCCAGTGTTCGCTCCCCTGTCGTACAAACCCCGCGTACACTGTAGCATCAGTCTATATAGTTTTGTTGTCCATCGAGGTTACCTAACCTTCATCAACAGCCCCTTAAATATCCCTCGACTGCAACAACGTCGAAATCTCCCAACAGCGCATAGGGACGCTAGTGTACGGAGTAGTCAAGACCCAAACGCAACGGTGAGTTTCGATCAGATTAGACAACAGCGGATCTGATAGCTGAAGGGTGGCTTGTCTGGTGCTGAACCGGAGAATCTGATTAGATCCATAGTGAGGCCCGAACGCCGGAACCGCTGGAAATGAATTACGTACCCTGACGTGGTAAGGACACTGTAACGGACTAGTCTCAGACATCGTTACCGGTCGCAGGAAATTGGTTGTGTTTCGATGTGACTTACCCCTCACTGGATACGCATTTTCAGCACGGTTTGTTCAAGGGGTTCAAAAGCACCACTCGACTCGGACTAACAAGCCCGAGTAACAAGGTTCAGTCCGCTTTCAGTGTCTCGCACATCCAGCCCGAGTGTGTCTGGTACCTTGGTTACTGTACGAAGCTGTGTGTACTGATTGATAAGCCACTGCTTCCTGGTCCCAGGGAACCGGCTCCTTCACAACAACGGGTCGGTCGGATCAGGTCGGGTCAGAGCAGAAGTGGACTGTATGTTAAGACTACTCTTCAGAGTGGCCCAACTGAAAAGAGCAAGACAAACAGCAAAAATACCCACACAGCAATTGCCGGTCTCAGAAATACTTTCAGCCGAGGGAAAAGGAGAACGTGGCCTATGAATTCATTCCCCACAATTACGCGATAACAGAGGGGTTTGTTTTCTTAAAGGCCACCGCTGGCATCATCCCATCATTTGCGAGAGAACCCGAGAACCTGCCATTGCAAAAGCTTCCGTGGGATTTCTGGAAAACTCCCTCTCTCCCGTCGTCACCTTCGAACTTTTCACACCACAGACAATATCAGCTCTTCACCACCAGACAGACCATGTTGTACTCCAAATTCTGGCCCAAGGGTGGTATCCCGGGCATGCTCCACCACTACGTACGTCGACGATTGACCCCTCCGCATCCGCAGAGAAAAGAGGAAGAGACATAGCAAGAAGACAACTGACCATTTCACCTCCCAAAACCAACAGACTGAATCCCTCGTCACCTTTGAATACACAACCGGCAAGGTCGCCCAACCCCACAGTCTCCTCTTCGTCGGTGGTCTGGGCGATGGGATCGGTACCACGTCCTACGTCGCCGACATGGCGAAAATGATGGAGAAGAGCGACTGGTCCATTTTCATGCTCAACCTCACCTCCTCCTACAACTCCTGGGGTCTGGGCCACCTGGACCGCGACACGAACGAGATCACCAAGTGCCTCAACTACATCCGCGACTACAAGACGGAGAAGTACGGCAGCCCCGGCAAGATCGTGCTGATGGGCCACTCGACGGGCAGCCAGTGCGTGCTGCACTACCTCTACCGGCCGAACCCCTTCACGGTCGCCCACCCGTTCGACAGCGAGCTTGAGCACCTGCAGCGCATGGCCCTCGACGGCGCCATCATGCAGGCGCCCGTCTCCGACCGCGAGGCCATCCAGTGGGTGCTCCACTGGGGGTTCAACGGCAAGACGCCCGAGCAGGTGCGGGCGGTGTACGACAAGGCCGAGGCGCTGGCGCGCGAGGCGGTGCGCGACAAGGACCCCAAGTTCGACACCGTCCTGCCCCTGGACGTCACCGCCAACATCTGCTACGGCGCCAACGTCCCCATCAGCGCCCGCCGCTTCCTGAGCCTCGTGAGCCCCGACAGCCCCGCCACGCCCCAGGAGGACGACCTGTTCAGCTCCGATCTGAGCGACGAGCACCTGCAGACCACCTTCGGCAAGATCCGCGACTCGGGCCTGCTCCGCAGTCGCCTGATGGTCATGTTCTCCGGCGCCGACCAGGCGGTGCCGGACTGGATCGACAAGGAGAAGCTGATGGCCCGGTGGAGGAACGCGGCGAACCACAACGGCGAGGCCGAGATCTGGGATGACCAGCACAGCTTCATCATCCCCAATGCCTCGCACGCGCTGAGCAATGACGACCAGGCGGAGCCGAGAAGGCTGTTGGCCGAGAAGGTCATCAGCTATCTGAATGCAGTCAAGGGAAACTGAGATGATTATGATCTAGTTTTGTTTTTAGCGTGCAATGTTAGAGATTCAACGGTTCAAATTAGAGCATAGATTTGTGAATAAAAGACGATGACTCCATTCTTCATCATCGTATGTCAAAGCAGGGTGTTGGACCTTGACTTTTTCACTGGGAATGGCTTGTACTTGGAAAGTGCGGACAATCTGCACCTGGAGCTGGCGCAATCCCCCCAGCCCACCATCAAGTGTGGGCAAAACAGACTTACTATAGCAGGAACATTTAACTGTAAAAAATAAATTGTCTCAACTTCATCACCACTCTCTATGCTGTACAATTTACTCCTCTCCCAAAGCCACCTCATCGAACCAAGTCCCAACTTTCGACCCTCAAAACCCCCTCCTCATCCCCTCTTCATTGCCCAGCCCCATAAGTTACCGCGCAGGATGTATTGGACCGCGTACTGTACGGTCACACTCGACACCCCCTCCCCCCACCACACAATACGGTACGGTACCCGAAAAAGCAAAACCTCATCTTATCACTGATTGATAAAATTGTCTTTCCCCACCCCGCCGTGATAAAAATTTCTTCCACTCCCAAACCCAGTTTTCTCTAACCGAGGTGGGCAAAGGCTGCTGCTGCACTGAACTCGATTGGCACATTATTTTTCGGTGCTCAATTCTCAATTGAGTATGTCCGTAGTCTAAATTCGCGCGAAGGAAATTGCAGCAGACTAGTCTTGGGTCAGGCGACTTCTTATCAATCTCCTCCGCCCCGCCGAACGTCGGAAGGGATGGGCATGCTCTGTGGTGGGTTGAAACCGAGAGTGGATTAGGATGTGGTGGTGGTGGTGGAATTGGGTACTGGGTAGGTAGCACTCTAGCCCATTCACTCACAGCTTGCTGTGAACTTTCCCAGCCCCTCTCGGCTCTCCTTAGGAGTTAGGACTCAGGTAGACTTTCAACCTGCAGAGATCGGGTACCTACAGTCAGCGACTTACTCGTCTGCACTCTGCAGTCGACAATTAATCTGCAATATCCGTAATTGCTCTCCAAGTCTCCGTCCGGCCTTTTCGGTCCACTGCTCAAAAACACATAGCGCCAATCTGCAGGTTCCTTCTTCCCGCAGATGTGATGAAGGGAAACATGATAATCTCCACCACACAGCCGGTGCGCGCGGCTCGCGCTGCACTTGGTGGGGAATCTTCCTTTCGCATCTTGCACAATTCCCCATCCACAAAATCTTGGCTGGCAGGCCAGCGCCTACTATATAATCCCACACCATACCCGTTTGGTCACAGAGGGCCGAACTCGCGCAAGCGGTGACTCGCCGGTCTGGTCGGAGAGCGGGCAAAGAAGGAACCTACTTTTACTACTTGCATCTTTAATAAATCCACCTTCCCCTCCTTCCCCCACCACCACTACCACCACCACCACCTCCTCCTCCTCCTCTCAATCCTTCTCACCAGACAGACACAAACCTTCAGCTGGACTGCTGGGAGACGAAGGACTTATATGACCCCCCTTGACAGATATCTTAACAAGGGATTTCAAAGCTAGAGTCATAATGTCGCAACAACAACAACAACAGTCGCAAGTCGACGCCGACGGTTTCCACCTCTTCCAGGTTGCCGGCCTGGAAGCTCCCTCCACCTCCACCTCCACTATTACTCCGACAGGGACGAGAGAGGAAGTTCTGCTAGTATCATGGATCATTCTGCTGTTGCAGTCCTGCGAAGACGGCCAGGTTCGCTTCGAATGGGCGTATTCGGGCGCCGAGAAATCGTCGCTTTCGACACCACAAGTGATGCCGGGATTACAGAGCACTATCGGTCAGGTCTCGGCCGCAGTCGCCCAACACATCGCCGCAGCCACGCAAGATCAATCGCCTGTGACACCCACGACGCTGTTATTAAGCACGGGCACATTGTCACAAGCCCCCGAAGAGGTAAAAGATACAGTGAACCATTGGTCGAGAGTCTGCGAATTCAAGCTAACGAACCACCGTGAACCAGGGTGTCACCCATGTGGAGGTTGGCTTTGAGAGCGGAAACCTCAAGATTCGGCCAGTATGGCACTCACCCAGCGTGCTGGAATTCACCGTGGGGCTACATGTCACCAAGCTAGCGGAGCTGGTTCAGCGATGCCTGAGCAATCCCGAGGGCT